ACCAATCAGCTTATCTCTTCAGTGTGTTCAGGTAAGATTTGAAAATGGAAGAGAGAGGCTGATTGGTTGCCATGCACAGCTGCTCCAGATTGTGTCTTCTCCAGTTTTGAAAATTGAAAAAAGATTGGAGGGTTTACTACTACTTTCTGCTTGTTTTAAGCAAATGGCAGAGTTTCTTTAAGGTAGAACTATGGGGTTAAGGCTTTTCCCCATAGTTCTCCCTAGGGTAACGGGAGGACACAAACTAGCGCCCTCACGTCACCCTAAGCTCAGTATACCGCGAGCTACTCTCATGATGTCCTTTCCGGGATCCTGCTAGTTCATATTTTCTATTCTCTGGTAACCTCTTCTACAGACACAGGTCTCTCTGTATAGAATGATGGCATCCCCTATACATACATATTTTATTTATATGTCTTCAGCCAATGTGATTTGTCTGGATTTCTTTTCTCATTTTGTCTCTCATAGTTGAGGTCTACCTATGATGCCAATTACAGGCCTCTCTCATCTTTTTAAGTGGGAGAACTTGCACAATTGGTGGCTGACCAAATACTTTTTTGCCCCACTGTATATGTCATATGCAATATAAAGCATCCATGCATTATCTACCAGCATTCATTTTCATTAGGTCTTGTAAGCATAATCTACCGCCCTGAGGGCTTTACAGAGCTCCCTAAACTTGCCAGGTCAACCCTACTTACATAGCAAATATATTTGCGTAAAGTGAGCAGAGAGATGACCTCACCAGTATGCTGCTACTCCTTCATTGTTCAGTTAGAAAGCTGGGAGTATGTCCAGTTCCTGCTAGTACTGACTAGATTACAAGAGGGATGTGGGGATTTGCAAGTGCTTTGACAAGTAAAACAGTACACATATATGTATTTCAACTGTGTATATAAACTAGTAGCTTTGCATGGAGTCCAGCAGCAAATTTTGAAGTTTATTAGAAAAATGAGTGCGACACTAAACCTATGCAATAAAACCCAGTATGATTTGATTTACCTTACGCTGCACAGAGATATGCAAGTGGAGTAATCCTTGTGTGTTTGTATTTCTTACATCAATAGTATGGGTCCATCACTGCCTTTCTGAGGGTCGCTACATTACCCCTCCATGCACTCTCTGTATGTTTAACGTAGACACGCTCCTCAGCACATTTTGCTGTACTACAATGCTATACATGACACAGCCAGCACATAAAACCGCCCTCCTACCTCCTCCCATATCACCAGCATGCTGCATCTATTACAACACCGGCCTGGGCATTGTGGGATGTACCAGTAATGTAACGGAGAACGCTGGGTCACACCTACCCATTGATGAATGCCTTTGAAACAAATGACAATGGGATTGTAGCCCTTTATATTTATTATATTATGGCACTTTACAACAGAATATAATACCTTATCTTTGTTTCATTTAGTTTTTGTTCATTCAAGTAGTTTGAGGAATTTTGATGTATGCTATCTTTTACACTGCATTACTAATCGTTGTATAGACATAGAGAACTTTATTGGCTTGGATAATTCGATAGCTTCACATAATATTGTTGAGGAGTATATGGTATTTGTGTATGTTGGCAGCTTGATCATTTAGAGAATCTTATACCGATTTCTTAGCACAGAAGCTATTAGGTTATATTTAGTAAAGAAATGATGACTAGGGGGTTGCTGGCACTGAACCAAACAAGAATGAAAAACAATTATTTCAAACCTATACCTATTCTTTAAGCCCTTCACAACCAATGACGTACAGTGTACGTCGCTGGCATCGGGGCTGTTTAAACAGACTCCCAGTGGCAAACTCTGTTTAAACTTGTCAAGTCGACTGTCGACTTTACAGTAGAAGAGATTCAGGCTGTACTTGCAGTTTCCCTTGCATTTTTCTGTTCCCATGAAGCCATCTTAAATTGTGGTTTCCTTTTTCACATATTTGAGGAACTTAGATTGATTTAGAAATAAAGGAACATAAAGGAGCCACACTGTTCATATTTTTATTAAATTTAGCCAACATAAAAACCTACTTGAACATGAATCCACTAGCTAAAACAGCGACACAACCAAAAAACAAAACACAACTATCTATGAAACATTTCTTATAATTCTGATGTGTTGTCTCACACAAGATTCAGGCATACACCAGTTAGGCCTATTATCCCAGATTAACCACTTGCGGTCTGGAGCAACTTCTTAATATACACACACACCATAAAATCTGAATTATTGGCTAGAAAATCACTTAAACCCCCCAACCAATTATACTTTCTGAATGCAGAGGCCCTGTAGTATAAAGAAATGCTAGTTTATTTAAATGTTTTATGTTACACGATATTTGCACAAATGTTTATCAAACCAGTATTTTTAGGATGAAGTACACAGAAACAAAATATAATACCCAATTTTTTGGTAAAAGATGGGGTCATGTCGGGTACATAGATACCAAATGTGTCAAGCCGTAAAACTGCGTTCGCCTGCAAAAACTCCAACAAACTACATTACCTAAAATTTCCCATAGGCAACGCTTCAAAAGCTTTTACTGCTCATTGATTGATGGCCCTAAAATTATTGCTCTCACTCGATGTTCATGACGATCTGTAACTTTTGTTTTTGGACGTTGGCGCACCAGACGCGTTTGCACTTGTATGAGCGTACACGTGGCATTCTTTTTTATATGCGACTCATTTTTTTTTCTTCTTTTTACACTTCACTTTATTGCTATCACATAAGGGGCTAACATGTAATAGCAAATATGATGTGACCGGTCCCCTTTATGGAGAGATCAGGGGTCTGTCAGACTCATAATGTCACCTAGGGGCCCCAAAGAAGCTGATGAAGCAGCAGTCTGCTTCACCAGCTTCTTCTCCTAGCTGCAAGAGTCAGAGAATGTAAATAGTGACATCAGAAGTGATGTAATACACATGACTACTGGGTCCAGTGAACGGAGGAGAGATCTGCAGCTAGAAGCTTGCTCATCTCCCTAAGATCGCTGTGGGACGACTCGCCGTGCCGGTCCCAGGCCCACACGAGTGACAGCGGCGTCTGGGGTAGCACACATTCCACCGCACCATACAAGCGATCCACCGCAGCCGTGTTCTTGGTATAACTTTTCGGACAGGACCTTTTTGATGGTGGGCGGTGAGTTAAAACTGTCCTGCTGCTGGTCAATATAACAATGCTGTGTCATTTGCAGCCTTTTCATTCTTGTAGTAAAACCCCCGCCTGTACACATTTCTCTATTTTCAGTAAACTCTTCCTTATCAAATATGTCCTGCTGCTGGCCAATTTTAGACTGCTGTATCTCTTAGTTCTCTCTAATGCTCAATAAACAGCTGGAAAGAAAATGGCCAGCAACAGGATAATTTTTCATCAGCGAGTACAAGGATAGCCACAGCCAACTAGTGGCAACTTCTAGCCAAGTAATGCTGTATGTAAGCTAAGCTAATTGTAAAAGAATAAAATGAATTCAGCAGCCAAATACGCGATGGCAGTGCATGTTTTAACAATGAATACAGCGTTAAGGCATCCCTCTAGAATATTGAAGGATTTGTTGTCCCAGAAGGCAAATGAAAAGACCCTCTCCCCACCAAAATTATATTTTTAATTTTATTTTTGTTCATTGGTACATATCCCCCATAGCCGTGCCCAGCTTCCCATGTCTTTTTTCCAGACTTTAATTGGATTTGCCTTTAAAAAGGAGAACTATGGGGCCAGGGCTTTTCCCCATAGTTCTCCTAAGGATCACGGGAGAACACAAACTAGCGTTCTCCCATGACCCAAAGCTCAGTATACCACGAGCTACAGCTCGCGGTATACTGAGACGTCGCAGCCGGAACGGATCCCGACATTGCTGTCGAGAACCACCCAGCTGCGGGATTGACAGCTGGCTCTGCCTATCCAGAGGCAGAGCCAGCTGTGCCCGCCCCCTCCCCCATCCATTCCGCCAGTCAGTGCTGGAGGATCGGACAGGGGAGGAGGGGAATCCCTGCAGGGAGCCGTGAGTGACAGTCATGGCTCTCTGCAGGGATACATCGAGAAGTGAGCGAGCGCCGGTATGTGTTCGCTCACTTCTCGATCTACTGAGCCGACCTGTGACAGTTTCATTGTCACAGGTCGGGTCAGATTATGAGGCTGAGTGAAAATCACTTGCCTCATAATTCTCCTTTAACTTTGGGTTCACCGAAATTTTTAAACAAGATTTGCCGAATCCTTGGAAAAATCAAACCTGGTTAGATTCACTCATCACTAGATAACATACAAGGGTATACAAATACTTGTGTGCTATGAAAAAAGTTCTCGTCAACCATTGCAGAGAGTTTAGTGCATGACTGAAAATTTTTTATTTAAAAAGGTTAAAAGGTTCATTTCCTTTTCCCCCTATACAAAACGGAACGCTGCATATTTGTCAAAGGAAACATGAAACCAAATGAACTGGGTTAGAAGACAAAATTGTCACATGTTCTTAAGAGCAGCAATCACCACAAACAGGAGTAGGTCTCAGATTTGACAATATTAATAAGCTCATCTCAGACATGGCACATTCAGCAACAATGACACCTTAAGTAAATCTATCCTTAGAGAAATATGAGGCCTGCCACCTTCTGAAAATGCTACTTATCTGTCTCTTATGCTGACCTTCTGGCTATAATGCATTCTAAGTCACTTATCCGAAAATGGATTCATATAAAAGAAAAGTCGGTGGTCTTTATCTACATACATAGTGTGCCAGCGATGACAGAGGACTAGCACAGCAGTAAGACAAACGGCATTTGCAGACTAAGAATTCAGTAACTGATTGCTCCCTTTCTTTCTCAGGAAAGGTTTTAATTAATATATGCACCAGTGCGCAGCAGTGGAGGTTTGTGAGAGGGTGACTAATTTTGAGAGCCTGCTGATACTTGAATGCATATTGAGAAGCAGAAATGTTCCTAGGCTTGGAATGTATAATGTGATAGGAGGAACAATTATGAAGCATTTTAAAAGCAAGAACATAAGAAAACTTACCCTCTTTGAAATAAATCCACATTGTAGAATTTCTGGAGCTCCACTGAAAATTCCACCGTGGCCTGAACATCACTCATTTTGATTGCAGATTCAGACATCAAAATATACTAGTTACTAAAAAAGAAAAAACACCAGAAATTAAAAACACATTCCTAAAGCCTCAAAGACATTCAACAATTGATTTTTTAGGATTTTATCACTTGGTATACACAGCAGTGGTCTGCAACCAGATGCTCTTTTATGTCTGTAAGCTGTGAGACATCGGCTGGCAGGATTGTGAAGGGTGTGTCACTTAGGTCTCGTCATACACATGGTAAGGGGCTCCAGGGTTTATGACTTATGTGGAGAAAAACCTCTTGCTTTTTCAGAATCCTAATACGTTCTGTTCTGGGCCCTGGAGCCTTTGTAGAGCTTTGGTATGATAAAGTTTCCAATCCTAGGTTCACATGGTAGCCAGGCCTCATTGTTAGTCTCAGCTGCACAGAGGCCATTATATATGTGAGCTGACTGATGTTCAGGACTCGCTCACTCACTCTGCTGCTAGGTGAAAAGACTGAATGGTGACAGAACACTAAAGAGGTACATGTGTTGCCTGCATTTGTTGAGTAACCCATAGGAGAAAGCCCTGTTAATTAGAAACTGACACGAGTTTAGTTAGTGGCTCAGACGAGGAAAAGTTTTGTTTGTCTAAAGCCCCGTTCACAATTGAGCGATTTATCGCGCGATTTTTGTAGCGATATCGCTCATATTTCCGCACTATATCGCTCTATGTAGCTTCACCAATACATTTCAATGTAGCTGTTCACATCTCGTCGCTCAATGTCGCTCAATATCGCTTAATATCGCTTGTAGCTCGTCGCTGGTAGCTTGTCGCTTCTACATGACCCTTTTTTAGAGCGATTTTGAGCGATATTGCTCCTGATTGCATACAGCCCAATAGGACGATGTCGCGCGACACGTCGCTCAAAGTCGCGCGATTTGCATGTCGCTCAGTGTGAATGGGGTCTTATGCTATGGACTTGCTGTACAAAGCCCTCCTGCATTGAAACTATGATTGTTGGCTGCCTTGTTGAATGTAAGTGTAGATCCAACCTGCATGGACAGTTCCTGGGCATCCCTGTCGTGCATGGTTATCACTGCCAATACCATTAAGCCTACCCCCCATACAATACATAAAATGGGTATTTGTTTTGTTCCCAAGGTTTGCAAACCACAAAAATGCTTTTGGACAATGTCCCTAAATGTGTCCCAGCAAGTTTGAAAGCGAATAGAAAATATCCAACATTTACTGTTCTTTTTACTTTTTATAACCGCCTCGCAACACGCCATGCCTAAAATCGCATAATGAGATTTCACTTGTGAAAAAAAAGTACAGTGCAATGTGCTGAGATTGTAGCGATGTAGTGCAGGGGCTGGTGTGAATGGGCCCTGACAAATACAAATCTGCTGCTTGCTTATGTAATAAAGGGACAAGAATTACATTTACCTGCACTAAGTCACAACATGTTATTCATGGGAACTAACAGATGCTTTGAGAGACTACAGATCAATGACTCTCACGGGTATTTTATTATGGAAAGTACTCTAATGTTAACAAGTACAGTACAGATGTAGAGAATTTGGTATCTAAGGATCAGAGATAGACATCTTCTACATGCACTGTACGTATATGGTACAAATTCAAGCTGTACCAAAAGATCCAGGCAAATACTGATACTGTACAGGTACCTACTTCTCTTTTAGGTCATTTACTATTTGGGTCTATTTTATTTTCCATTTTCAAATAGTTGAAAATTACTTAACCACTTGCTGACCGGGGTGTTTATACCTCCTTCCTGACCAGGCCATTTTTCAGTATTCAGCACTGCAATACTTTGACTACTCAGCACTACAGGTTTTTTTTTACTGTATAATTTAAAAAAAAAAATTTTGGGAAAAAAACCCTGCTCTCCCTACGTTATGTTATAAAACATTTATTATTACCCAATTTTTTGGTAAAATATAAAAGGACGGGGTCACGTCGGGTAAATAGGCACCTGTTAAATCGCTTAAAAACTACAGTACTCAAAATTGACCACAGCCAACGCTTTAAAAGCTTTTACCACTCATCAGTTTAGTGTTATCAGTGATTGATGACCCTAGAATTATTGCTCTCATTCCAACGTTCGCGGCGATCACCGCACTTGTACACCTTTGAGAAGCACGAGTCCCTCTGCCATAGTGGTAGACGGACTTGTAGTTTTTTTCATTCACAGATCCCTGTAAATGGCTATGTGAATGAATGACACTGCTGTGCGGGCAGAGCCACACATAGCTGCGCCGAATTCAAATATATACAGAAGCCTGCAGGAGAAGTACTCGGTAATTCAGGTAAACGCGGTGGCGGTTTGAAGATGGGGAGCTATCCGGGGAACACCCTCAGCACTAGTCAGGAAATTGTCGGCATTTTGGACAAAACAATTTGGCATCCATATATACACAGCTTTATGTAGCACAAAAAAAACAAAAAAAACATTTTTGTCTGTTCCATAGTTGTGGAATTATGAGAACCTCACATTTGTGTTCCTCAGTGTGTAGTGATAGTGTCGTTTAGTTATGACTTATTTAAAGGGCATTTGTCCTGAGACCTATTAGGAGCATGTATCTAAAATGTAGCATGACAGTGATAGGTCAATTAGAAAAGTGTTAAAGTGATTCTAACTCACTCCACTACCTTTGCAAATATGTTTTCTTAATTGATTATTTGACAAATAACTTAACAAAATAATTCTCAGTGAGAATTTTTTTTTTTAAAGTAAATAGTACTTACATTTTCCATAATTGAAAAATATTCTGTATATAGGCTTTTCAGTGTCTCCCCCCTCCCCCCATTTGAGACACGTGTGCCCATCTGTTCTATAGTTTTTCTCAGGGCTTGTAGCTTGATGGGTATTCCTGTTGATGAATGTTTAGGACACTATTGTTAGCCTGACAGGGAGATCAAGTTCTGATTCATTCTATTGTGTGTGTGGTTACACAACATCTTGGGCTCTAGGGAAGCTGGCCACTTGCTTCATTGTATATGAACAACATTATTCATATATTACAACTTCCTAGCTAGTTTTCTATCCGTATTTTCCATCTGTGAAATGATATGCTATTATGCAACCCCAAAACAGATGGTAGGCTTTCTGTTTTAATGTTTTGTATACAGAATTGATTTACACTGCCTAAACGCAAAAATAATGCAGTGTGACAGTGTAATTTTATCATAACATAGTATTACCTTGTGGTGAGACTTTCCTAAGAGCACAACCATTTACAAGTTTCTATATTATGAATTTTTTTTGTAAATCCTTGCTAATTATACCTTCGGTTCACACCGCATGATTCTGGCAGATTGTTTAATGCTTTGCTACAATACGTAAGGAAAAATCCTTTCTTTTAGATCAGGGGTCTCAAAGCTCTGGCCCTCCAGCTGTGGTGGAAGTACAAATCCCATGAGGCATAGCAAGATTCTCACAGCCACAGACATGACTCCCGAAGAGATGCATCATGGGATTTGTAGTTTCACCACAGCTGGAGGGCCGGAGGTTGGAGACCCCTGTTTTAGATGCTGCCCTCATTCTTCCCACCCGCATGTGACTAGTTCAGGTATATCGAATTATAAACCGATCACATGGGGTTAAAAACAGACCACTAGTATTAACAAGACATGAGTCTTTGTAATTTTTGCCCAAAATACCACCCAAAGAATCAGAAGGGAAAATTAATACAGATACCAGACCTCACCGGCAGGTGCTTGGTAGAGGAGATATGCTTGTCAACATAGCATCTGAACGTGTATTTCTAGCTTCCCTCTTTGAGGTGTTAATGTCAACTGGCATGGCTGACCTATCCATATTATTATCATAGTTTAGGGTAGGTTTAGGTCTGAACGATTCCCGGGACCGCTCAATCCGCGTAGTTTCATGCACGATTGCCGCGGCAATCACGGATCGCGCAGGTGTGAACCTAGCCTTACATATTTGCCTGGGTTGCGTTTCTCTTGTTTCGTAAAACTGACAAATGGTTTGATCCTTCAAATGTTCCGTGTCACTCATTTAATCCAATGTAGACAAACTGCAATGGTATAAAATGTTTTATTGGTTAAAGGGTGTCTAAATCAAAAACTTTTTAAAATTAGTTTTTGATAGGGGGTCCAGCCCCTTCTCTTTCTATCAGGTCCTAAATGCTGTCTGTGTCTGGGCTGGGGAGATTCATCCTCTCTATTTGTCCCAGCGTCTAACTCTGTTGTGTCTACAAAACAGGAATTGAAAAGAATTCTCCCCAATGGGACATTGATAGGCAAAAAAGAAACTGACGGGATTTAACCTTCTCTATCCAAAACTAAAAAAAAAGTTTCAGGTTTGGGTATTCTTTACCATTGTTAACATTGCAAAACCATTGTGGCTAACGTCTTGCGCTCAGTTCCCTTTAGGCCCCATTCACACTAAGCTGGATAGCGCGACTGTTCGGGGCGACGTTCCAGCGAGCGTCACTGTCGGGCTGCATTCAAAAATAGAAAAATTGCGTGACATCCGCGGGAAACAGGGTCCTGCTGAAGAGACAGGCGACATGAAGCTGTACATTAGAACAGCTCCATTGAATAACATTGGCCGGCGACTTCTCGCGATATCGTGCAGCAAAAGTGCGCGATATTGCGGGATTTTCCACTCAGTGTGAATGGGGCCTTAGAGTAATGTATCATGGATTTGGCATCTATATTAGGCCCCTTTCAAGCGGGCGCCTTCAGTTCCGATCACCTGCTGATCAGAACGGATGTCACCGTGGTGATATTCGTGTCCTTCCAGTTTTTCCCCCCCATCTTGTGATGGAGGAAAAAACTGAAATTATCGGACCCAGGTTGGTCAATGGGGATGCGGATGTAAATGATCGTGTGTCCGCTTACATCAGATTAACCGTGATCAGGTCCGCCACACTGGAACTCTGTTCCATTTGGTTTTCTGGATTTGGCTGGAGTCTGAAGTAACTGGATGTAAACAGACGCACGTCCTTTTGGATCCCGCTGCCCATAGACTAACATCAGGCTTCTGCCACTTTCTTTAGAGTTTGCATTTGGACCGGAACGCAGG